ACAGGCAGCAGTCCCTGAGAACACACTGAGAACAGATGTCAAACTGCAGCTCTGTGACATGACCCTCAGTCCTTGCCGCAGCTGATGGCACATTTAATTATGATTGTGAATTTAATCAGAAAATGTTTTTATTCCAGCTGACCTATGTTTTGCCACATGTGCTGTTGCTGGCAAGAGAGAGATCTTCTCTAACTGGAGGTGTTTGTTTTGTGTACTGTGTGCCAAATCATGAATATCACTGCCAGAGACCCAGAACACCCTGTTGTTCACATACCACCAACAACGTAGTCTTCCTTGAACTGATATTCGAAGAGGATGGCAAATCAATTCAGCAGCAGAAATACATTCCTTACCCACATTATACTACATGTGAAATACCTACATAACTTAATGGGAATATCAGTAAAAAGAGACAGTAAAAAGAGAGAGTCTGTGACATAAAGCACAACAGAAGGGACTTTGCAGATTCTGTAAAGTGTTTTATGTGATTTTCAACGATTAGGTAGATAACAGTGAAATGGCCCTAAAGAAAGTATTCTAGTTTTTTTGGGATACTAAACAGCATCACATTAAATTATTAAGAAGTATTCAACTGTGTACAACTCGTCCTTCAGATGAGACATAAAACCGAGATCCTGACTCACTGGGGTCATTAAAAATCCCAGGGCGTTTCTCGAAAAGAATAGGGGTGTAACCCCGGCGTCCTGGCCAAATTTCCCATTGCCCCTTACCAATCATGGCCTCCTAATAATCCCCATCTATGAATTGGCTTCATCACTCTGCTCTCCTCCTCACTGAGAGCTAGTGTGTGGGGAGCGTTCTGGCGCACTATGGCTGCCGTCGCATCATCCAGGTGGGGCTGCACACTGGTGTGTGTGCAGGGGAGTCCCCATTACCTGTAAAGCGCTTTGAGTGGAGTGTCCAGAAAAGCGCTATATAAGTGTAAGGAATTATTACTATTATTATTATTATAACTGTGTAGTCTGTTCATTTCACCTCTTAACAAACCCTTTTCTCTCTTGCAGCTCAGTATTTTGCGAGCACAATGATCATTGTCGGACTGTCTGTAATTGTCACTGTCTGGGTCTTACAATTCCATCACCATGACCCTGATGGAGGCAAGATGCCAAAATGGGTAAGAATGTGGAATGCTCATGGCGTTTCTGTAAGGAGTGACGCGCTGCGGTTCAAACACCGATCATGGATGATATAAAAACAACATCAGGCACAAGACCCAACTGAGGTGGGGCGTCGAGCTGTGAGGCTGCAGTGATGACTGCCAGATCACCTTTCTGCCAGGACTGAGCTTTTTCACTGGGGCGCTTTGCATAGTTACTCAACAGTAAAACCTAAAAACCTTCAAACCTCTGGCTAGTGCTCTACCAAGAACACAAACAGCAGCGAACACATAACCCACATGCAGTGGAAGCACACACACCAGCACGCATGGGGAATATCACATTCGTGAGTGACCATCATTTCTCTTCTGCTGTCCTATTCATACTGGGCAATAATACTGTACATAAAAAACCTTGCTGCTCATCCCATTTACAAGTGATATTTTAATACTACTTTAATATTAAAAAGAAATAAACAGAGCACATTTAACCCCAATGTTACTTCCAACTGTCCCTACATTGCTTGCTGTCTCTACATTCTGCAACCAGAATCTAGGGACACAGAAAAATGCTAGAAATATATTTTTCACCAGGAGAATATATTGCCATGTTTAGTGAGTTTATATGCTGAAGAAGTTCGAGCAGGGAGCTGCATCAGCACACATAGGCTGCAGAGAAACAGGTAAGGTTGTATTAAAGGTTTATCCTTTTATGATGAAAGGAAAAGAAAAGAGACACAACATTTCAGCTGTGGAATTTTCATAATATATGTTTATAGGCTAGCATCTTTTTAAATTGCTAATGACACTGAGAAAAGCTGCCCAATTTTACTAACATGATTAACTATTACACTAGATTAAATCTAGGGTTATATCTTAATCCCGTTGCACTGGAATTTAAATCATAATCTATCTTTATTTAAAATGAAACAAGGGTTATAGTTTCTTAAATGCAAGATTTAAAAATCACCCAGTAGCACCAGCAGAAATCTTAAACCAAAGTTACTAATTAATTGTGGTAAAACTGGCACATACTGGAAGCAGACTAATGTCAGGTGAACTGAGCTACAGGAAGAAGTGGACTCTATTAAATATTCACTGTGACAGAGACGTCTGCCGGTGGTACACCTTTTCAGAAGAGCTTGGTCATTTTCAATGTAAGATTTTATGTTCCTTTGTTTTCACAACAGTCAGAAACTTCTGTCAGGTGGGTTAAGAATTCTAAGAAGGCTGCTGGTTTCTTCACAAGCCATCTGTAATTAGTCTCATTTGGGTAATTAATGTAATTGAATGCATAAACTGAGTACTGAAGTTTCATCTAGAATAATGAGTTTACAGTTTTCTGGAGTTATGAATCTAGAATTATCTTCTTAATCTTAAAATGTACCAATCCTAATTTTCACTGCGCAGTATAACTGTGGTGGCACCATTCCCCAGATTACATTATGTTCGTTCAGTGGTTTTATCTGACCAGATTGCTCTAGCTGTCTGTGAAAAGATACCTCGGTCTCTCCCCCACAGACACGCACCATCCTGCTGAACTGGTGCGCCTGGTTCCTGCGCATGAGGCGGCCGGGGGAGGAGAAGGTCCGGTCCGCTTGTCACCACTCCCAGCAGCGCGGCAGCGTCTGCAGCGTGGAGCTCGGCGCCAACGGCGGCCTGGCGTACCTGGGCACCCGCGGGCTGGAGGGCGCGCGCTATGGCGCCGCAGCGGAGCCGGGGCTGGGCGTGGCCGAAGAGGACCTGCTCCTGCCCGGCGCTCACGGCGTGGAGCACGAGCTGGCCAAGATCCTGGAGGAGGTGCGCTACATCTCCGGGCGGTTCCGGGCTCAGGACGAGGATGGGTCCATCTGCAGCGAGTGGAAGTTTGCGGCCTCTGTGATTGACCGTCTGTGCCTCATGGCCTTCTCTGTCTTCACCATCCTCTGCACCATTGGCATCCTGATGTCGGCGCCTAACTTCGTGGAGGCGGTCTCGAAGGACTTCACCTGACACGACTGCATCCACACAGACCAGCCCCACGTGTCTCAATAAATATCGCAAACTGCTCATTCGTGTTTGTTTGGCTCTTTAGACCAGCTGTTTTCTTCTCAATGCTGCAACATCTCATTGCAGGTTCTGCAGTGGTTTCCTCGGCTAAGATGCATCCCAACAGTCAGTGTTTAAGTTATGATCACAGTGTAATTAGATTTCAAGACTTTGAGCAGTGTGTTTGCCCACCAGCAGTGGAGGCGTCTAGTAAGAGGCACAATTTAATTTAGGGGTCTTCTACTTTTGAGTGTTTTACCCCTACAGCACCATTAACTATAACCCCATATATAGGTGATGAAACTGGAGAACCAGTTTCTGAATGCAAACAGGACCTCATCCAATGCACTCATTGGAAGTGCAGACTGCGCCGTACAGCTTAAACATCACCGCTGTGATTGGTTATATCAGGGCTGCACAGTGCACAGCGTGCGACTTTTCCATTTCAGTAATCTGATACAACCGGCTCCTTGTAGTGGAAGGACAGTCTGTGACCTGCCACTAGAGGCCAGTAACACTCTCCATTATGTGTAAATAGACACATATTGTTGAATTAATTATCTCATTAATTAGATAATTGGCAAAGGCTTTGGAAGTGTTATCAGTGGAATGTGTGGTATATAAAGAGTTTAGTTGGTGGTCGGGAGACAACAGCCTGGGGGAGGCTCTGAGGGGGTGTATTGGTTGTAGAACAGAGAAGATCTGTGTAATAAAGCCTCTTGGAATTTCTGCAGTGTCCATTGTGAGTTTTTATGTGTTCAGATCCCTTAAAACACTTAATGGTGGGGGTCTATCATATTGCTATATAGATTATGCTCCTTTCAATTCAGTAAATAAGGAGCTGGTTGCTACAAAATCTAGTAATGGAGTAGTCAGGGAGGGCTATGGGTGGAGAAGGCTGTGTCGTGAGCTGACTGTACACGGGAGTGGAGCGGTGGCACTGTGGCTGAGGATCTGCGCCTGTGGCTAGAAGGTTGCTGGTTCAAATCCTGTGGCTGACAGAGGAATCCTACTCTGTTGGGCCCCTGAACAAGGCCCTTAACCCCAGCTGCTCCAGGGGCGCTGTACAATGGCTGACCCTGTGCTCTGACCCCCAGCTTCTCTCCCTGTCTGTGTGTCTCATGGAGAGCAAGCTGGGGTATGAGAAAAGATGAATTCCTAATGCAAGAAATTGTATATGGCTAATAAAGTGATCTTATCTTATCGTGGGATGGTCAGGCTAAGAAACACAATAAGCCCACACCGAGCTGGCCGAGAACACATGGCTTCCTGTGAACCGGTTACCCTGGTGACTGTTGCCTAGGTGCCTGTGCCTGTGGTCTTGCAGTGTCGTCTCAGAAACTCAGATCTTTCCTTTTGGTTCTCCAATAGGTGGAAACCAGGGAGTCTATTCAACAGCAAAAGGATTTAGGAGAATGGCACAAGCTCTCCAGTCGTCCTGCTGAAGCTGATAGCCTGTCTTATTTCAATATCCAGAATTAGCTACTTTCACAGATACCCAAAAAATTAAAACTTTTCTGATTTTTTTCTTTAGTAGTTAGAGGAGAAAAAAGGCATTTTGATTTATCTCATGGTAAAGAGAGCTACGATTTCTCCAGCTGCATTGTGCTGTGAGTGGCTAAATCAAATGAACACATTTTATTCTCCCCAGCTGGGATCCATTATTTAACTTATTTGAATTTCCAGCAGCTTAGTGTGTTTCCTCATTGCAATCTTGAGAAGAGTCTGTTACCATGGATACAAAGTCCTTAGCTGAAATCTTTCTGACTTGGTTATAAGCCTCTGGTGTCGTAGGAAACCAGGCCAGAGATGAAAGAGTTTGCAGTTCAATCTGAATTTAAAAATAGTATTTATTTTATATCTGCCTTACAATTAAAAAAAAAAGCCTATCCTCTATGTTTTTGATCCTGGAAGACGCTGCCATAATTCTCATCCCTCTGAACCGCAAAGCCTTACACTGGCAGACTAAAGGAAATTAAAATTGGTTTAGTTTCTTACAACTAACTTACAAAACAGCTGGATGAAACCCTCAGATTAAAATAAAAAATAATGGAAACAGAACAAGGTTGATATCCAGGCTAGATAGTAGCCTCCTATTATCTGTGACCTGTCCTATGTTGTTTTCAGGCTCTGGCTACACCCCTGCTCACTTCTGCTGTTTAACCTGAAGGCACACTCTCTCTGGGCAGCCCTTGAGCTCCTGCCTCTAGTGCACATACTGTCACATTGATTCTCTGTTCCCACACAGTAAACTGTTCTGCTTGGTGAAAGCACCTCACACTCTTGCAGTCATTTGGGTTTTGACTGTTCTGTATTACAGTGTTTGTGCTGCGTAATCGTGACACAACAGTTTATAGTTTCACGTTAGAAGGCTGAAGACCTGCTAGGAAATCAGAAGCCTGCAGTGATTCATTGGGCACATCAATAGGGTCTCATTCTTTAAATGTATTCAACTGTATTGCACACAGGTACATAGGGTCTCATTCTTTAAATGTAGTCAGGGGTCTAAAGCTATAGGACAAACTGATTAACTAGTAGTGAATGAGTCTAGATAGGGTGGGTATAACGCAGATGACCAATACAACCATTTTTATAAAAGACTGTATCAGATAGTTACTGTAATGTAAAATGTTTGGAACTTAAATAATATAGACAGTTCTACCTTCAGACAAGTCAGACATGGTGGAGTGCTGGCACCAATAGATTTTTTTTCTTATTGCCAGTCTTCCATTGTTGGAAAAGTTCCATTTTTTAGTAGAAAACTGTTGTCTTTTGTCAGCTTTTATTGCCAGGAGCAATGTTAATCAGTAAGATGAATGAGAGAGGTAATTAAATAAACTCGAGACTCCTTGTCTGTTGCTGAAGGGCAGATGCAGTTTTGCAAAGTGTCTGCATTCACGTCATACTCTACAAGTTTTAAGAACTATTGTAAAATCACCACACACACTGTTGCCAAAGTCTTAATTCGCTTTGCAAATCTACTACATCAGTCTGATCCAGAACAATTCGCATAATGCAGGCCTTTAAACAGTTACTGAAAGTTACAGAATGCCTGGGAAATTTCCACAGAATCAGAAAGTCTAAATAAAGTCTAGAAATGCTGACGGAGCCCTCTAGCTGAAGGCTGATTTACATCCCAGGAGACCGGCCTTGCAGCACAGAGCAGATATTGAAATGGAATGCTCAGATGTGCATTCATCTGAAAACAAAGTAAGGGATGTTTGCAATACTTGCATTTACATGTAAAATATTACAAAACCTTTTTCAGTTTCAAATAGAAACTGTTGTTAAAATTATTGGTAAATCTTCAATAAGAACTTTTAAAGGAATATGCCACAAGCAATAATCATAGTGATAAATATGATAATCATGAATAAGTCATTATTCCAATTATAGCAACACATGGCTGAGAACACATGGTGTGTGGAGAAGGCTTTGGCTCTCTCAGCCATAGGGAATCCTTTGATGGGATTTGTTCTTAATGAGAAGGACTCCATTTGACTAGGAATAAGGATGCACTGCGAGGAGTATGAGTCTGCTACAGACAGACAACCAAATACAGAAATGCATTATAAATCAGTCTTATACACTGGATTCAGGGATGTTTGGTTGAAAGAAGATGCAGTTATCATAGGACATTCTAACTTCCCTCACATAGGTAGGGAAAACCAACAGGGATGATAGCAGCCAGTATTGGTACAGTAGATGTACCTAATGTTCTGGCAGTTTGTCAGAACACCTACTGCAGGAAATACTTGTATTGAGTTATTATTGTCAAACATGGTCAGGGGAGAAAAATGGAAGCGTGAGAACCATTTTAAACGATATTATATTGTTGTTATTATTATTTTTTGTTGTGTTTTTGCTATTGTTATTATTACTTCTATTAATAGACATTTTTTTATTCCAAAGCACACACTCTGAGTCAGCAGCTCACTGCAGAGCAGGTAAAGAAATGAAAACTGTCACCGGGTGAGATAACGGGGATCACTCAGATTCTCCGGGCCCAGAATGGAATTTAACCAGGACACCAGGATAAAAACCCCTACTCTTACAGGCAGTGTTAATGACCAAGAAGTCAGGACCTCAGTTTACTCAGTGACTTCTCACCTGAAGAACAGTGCAGTGTCTCTGGTCACCGTACTGGGGCAGTGGCTTGGACATCCTAGTCCAGAGAGGACAGTGTCATCTTCAGAGGTCCAGTTTGTTTGATGTGTTGAAATGTAGAATAGTATAGACTCTGCTTTTTAGGTTACTAGACATAAATACATTTAAACATTGTTTTATAGTGAATTCATCACATCTCCAAAGTTCAAAGTTCTGGACAATGTTAATTTAAAACATGCAGTAATAACTGATAGATTTTCATTTTGAAAACACCAGTAAATGTCTCTTTAGGCCAACATAATCCAAGTTTTGCAGCTTTTTCAATATGTTTTCCAGGTTATTGGATTTTTTTGTCTACCATGTTCAGATCAGTTTAGTCCAGTGAAACTATATGATGAATTTATACAGATTTGTATTTCTGATTACAGTACAATTGGGAAGTTTTACAGTTAATTCACCTGCAGTGAGTTAATAGGAAAACAAACCGTATAACAATGTGAAGATCAAAGGGACCCAATGAGCATCTTAATAGAATTTTGTTTTCTTTTTGATTTGTGTTGGACCTATCTTTATAAAGCTGCTAAATGATTATGAAATTGAAATTTTTGCTCATAAATACTGTATTTGTCCTTTACAGTTCACAACAAGTCCTGACATTATTTACCTTTAAAGTCTTACTTTTAAAAAAGAGCATAAATATTCATAGAGCAAACAGTACTCTAGATGAGAGAATGTGGTTCACAAAATGTTCTTGTTCTCTGAGTATTATTAAATTAAAGTACTGCCTGTTAGCTTAATGTCTTTAGCTGGACACTGACAAGCCAAATTGGTAAGCCCAGCACAGACATTGACAGAGTGGACTGAATTGAAGCAATATATAGTACATACTGACATAAGTGACAGGTAAAATATTA